TCACACTCGCCTCTGGATTTGGCTCTTATATCTCAGGGTCTAGTTGTGTTTTTTAAAGCTGACAGTTTCCTTTCATCCCAGCCATTTGCCGGCCTGACTGTAAAAACCGGGGGAAGTGTGTGAAACCAAATGTGTGCAAATGTCCTGCAGGCTACGGAGGGCCCACCTGTGAGGAAGGTAACCTGGAGTCATAGTCAAACCAGTCAAAACTGCCGACTGGTTTGCATTGCTTACATACTTGAATTGCTCGCAGAACACTGAGGAGTGTCACTGTTTGTGTTCAGCGAGCTGTGAGCCGCCCTGTCAGCATGGAGGTACCTGCCTGGCTAGAAACCTCTGTACCTGCTCCTACGGCTACGTGGGACCACGATGTGAAATCAGTGAGATGTGACTTAAGTGTTTTTGCATCGTTTTTACATTTTACATAAACCTCCACAATGCATCGATCAGTACCCCTTTTGTTTAAGTGGGTCGGTTTAATCTAGGATTGCACTACATGATTTATGTCTGTCAGTGGTGTGTAACAGGCACTGTGAAAATGGAGGCGTGTGCGTTTCTCCCGATGTCTGCAAATGCCAACCTGGCTGGTACGGACCGACGTGCAACTCAGGCAAGAAACACGACCTGTAGCTAAGCATGCATTCAGACTGCAGCTTCCTTCTGTTAGAGTGTTTAATTCTGACAGCATAATTAAGTGGCACAAAACTCAATCTGACTTGCACATAAGTACTCAAAATATATCAGTACTGCAGGAACCTTTTCTCTTATTTATACTGTAAATCTAAAAGTACATATGTTGGCTCTTAATAAAGCTTTTTGTACCTTACGTCACCTGCAGCTCTCTGTAAACCCGTCTGTCTGAATGGAGGAACCTGTGTTAAGCCTAACGTATGTGCCTGTCCCAGTGGTTTCTTTGGCTCCCAGTGTCAAATTGGTAAGCTTGTGATGAATACATACAATGATTAATACAATGAGGAATTATAGTCAAATATTTCCAGCAATTTGTACAGACTGACTTTCATTTTTATTAAAACTAGCAAAAGCCTGAGGCTGCTTTCTGTTTGAAACAGCAAAACTCACTGGCATACATTTATTAAACTGCAGAAATCTCTGTAGGTTTGTCTCTCTTCTCTGCACATTGCAAGTAATGTTAATGGCATCTACTAGTAACTTGCAGACAGGAGTGAGAACTGTGCAGAGTGTGAGATCATTTAAGTCAATGATTAGCATATTTTTGCTAATATTTCAAACAGCGGCATACATATTTTACACATTTAGGACACCCACTGGCAAAATGCTGCCCCATGGTAGAAAGTAACTGGGGTTGCAATCTCTGTGAACAGGCTGTGCCCTAGTTACAAACATATTCAGCTTACTGAGGTTTCAAATAGTTTCTTGACTCTGTTTATCTTTCATAATAGCTAACATCTGTTGAGAATGCCTGAAAGAAGTGAAGTGATGCTTTTTCAACAAAACACACCTAAATGTTGCATTTCCTCTCTTTTAAGTCATATCAATGTTGCTATAAAATCCAATCTCTAAGCTTCAGTCTGATTGAAATGTGCATTTTTTGGGTTCCTCACAGTTTAATATTGCTGTCTTTCAGCTGTTTGCAATCCTCCTTGCAAGAATGGAGGTCAATGTATGAGAAACAACGTGTGCTCCTGCCCTGAAGGCTACACAGGAAAAAGGTGTCAAAAGAGTAAGTGATATCACAGCCTAAATAGTTGAAGTACTGTTCAAAGTAACAGCTCACAATTTAAACATTTGGGTTTTAATTTGTTCCAGGTGTGTGTGAGCCTATGTGCATGAACAGAGGCAAGTGTGTGGGACCCAACACCTGCTCCTGTGCTTCTGGATGGAGAGGGAAGAGGTGTAACATACGTGAGTGATGCATGGATGTCTTGATACACATAAAATACACAACAAATAAAAAATTACCAGCTATAGCTCCAAAAAACATGTAATTCAATCAGCTTCATTTCTTATACTTTGGTTTAGGTTTAGGTGGGGTTGGGTAATAGCACTCACAAGAACTAACAAGAAGTCATACACAGTAGTTGTTGTAAGAAATTCTCTAAAAAGTTTACAAATTGTCTCCTAATAACAGTGCACAATTTATATTTTAATATTCATATGAATATGCATATGCATGACTTTTATTCATGCAAATCTTTTAAATCATCTTGCCCTCAAGACGGCATCCACTTTTAACAAGAACTACATAAAATGAAGGAAGATGAGATACTTAAAAACCAAAAGGTGTTAGCTTTTCTGCCCTGAATTCAGGCTTCCAGGCAAACATTATTTCTTTATTTATTTATTTTTTGGTTCTTAAAAATTATTTTAGTGGCTAGAAAGTCCTATTTTTTCGTTTTAATGTAGCACAGCTAAATGGTAAATGGTCTGTATTTGTATAGCGCTTTACTTGGTCCTAAGGACCCCAAAGCGCTTTACACTATACACAATCATCCACCCATTCACACACACATTCACACACTGGTGATGGCAAGCTACAGTGTAACCACAGCCGCCCTGGGGCGCACTGACAGAGGCGAGGCTAGATCTTTTCTGGCTGACCTGCAAATGCCTAATCTCAGCACTTTGGGTTTTAACCTTTTACCTATCTGTTCAGTCCAGTCGGGCTTCTGAGATAAAACCTTTTAGAAGCTGCTTTGGTGTTCATGCCTCCCTCACTGTTCTTATTTTAGCTGTGTGTCTACAAAAGTGTAAAAATGGTGGCGAGTGTGTAGGACCAAATACCTGCCACTGCCCCGCTGGCTGGGAAGGCCTTCAGTGTCAAACAGGTGAGTCTGTTCCTCAGATGTAATAATATCACTAACAGCTTCAGTAACAGCTCAATTTTTTCTTAGGTAAAATCTGGCAAAGGGTACATACCAAATACTTTAACTAGGACTACTTTATAACCAATGTTCCTGAACTATTGCTGAACCAAATTAAACTGTTCCTCTGCCAAAAGGAGAACTGCTGTCTCCTTAACTCTCAGGACAAATACACAAAAACTACTGTACCACATTACAGGATACTTCTTGGAGAGATGAACTCAAGCAAAGGAAAAACAGACATTTTCATGCAGATTGAAATTCATCCATCCATCCATCCATTTCGTTCCACTTATCACATTCAGGGTCGTGGGCAGGTTAGAGCCTAATCCCAGCTGTCACAGGGCAAGAGGCAGTCTGGCCTGGAGAGTTTGCAGACTGAGATCACTTTGTTTAAAATAATGAAGTAGAAGACATGATCGTTGGTTTTCCTTCAAGTTCTTTTTTGCAGATAATTGTTTTGATCATGTGTTTCAAGTGTTTCCAAATGACAATCAAACAGACAGCCTGAACTATAATAAAAGACTCTTTTCTGATTGTAGAGTTTAACAGGAATTGACCATGAAAAGAAAAACAATAATAGATCAAATGTTTTAATTGTGACTTTCTCTCCAGCGGTGTGTAAACAGCGGTGTCTGAACGGAGGCAGGTGTGTGCTGCCTGACTACTGCCACTGTCGGAAAGGTTACAGCGGACTGACTTGTGCAATAAAGGTGAGAAATGGGGTCATGGTTAACATATCCCGGTGGGAAAAGTCATAAAGAACACTGATAACTCCAGGATTTATAGATTTATAAGATTTACAATAGAGTCATAGAACAAAGCTTCATTAGATGAATATCGTTGGTCTAGATGACTGAAATGTTTAGTTCTGTTTAATATTTCAGGCTATTAAAAAATAAATCAAAAAATATATAGTGTCTTTAAGAGAAATGTGATATTAATGATGACACACCAAAAAACTATCAGGCACCTTTTGTGCATCTCAAAAAATGGACAACTCAGTATTTATTTTTTTGATTTTTTTTATCTTCTTTTCCTTTTTTTTTTTTTTTTTTTTTTAATCTCTGTTTAATTCTTTCTGACTGCTGATAACCACTATTCAATTCAGTCTTTTTCTACTAATGTTAAGATATATTTTTAAAAAGTCAGATCAAATATACATCAGAAAAACCTTGAATTTAACACACTGCTTTTATTTTATAACCTCTTATTACTTTTGAAAAATTTAAAAAAAAATTTAATCATATGTATTTTATGGTTATTTCAAATTTACTTTTTAACTGCAAATAGCCCCATGGAGCACATGCAGTACTTTCTTGGCCCACTAGGGGGCTGCAGGCTACATTTTGGGACATTGCATCAAATAAAATGGCACCAAACAAATGAAAAAAAAAATTTTGTACTTCACAGGCATCACAGGCATGATGGCAAACAAATCGGGAATGTACTAAAGAAGCCACAAAGAACAAAGAAAGCACCATAACCTGTGGTGTGTATGAGTGAGACTTTGGATACTGGCATGTGCTGTAATGTGTGGCTGTGTGCACATTAGAACTGTAACACAGCGATTTGATATATGCACTTGTCTTTTCCTGTCTGTGTAGATCACTACCTCAAGGCTCAAAGTAACACCCATCTGTTAAATGTATTAACAGTGTATTTTATGCAGGCTTGTGTGCCGTACACAGTAGTTGGTTAAGAAAAATAATGTGGTGGAGGTTATTGCCATCACACATTTTAGATTTGCACTGTTTCTTTCTATCTTATGAGGGGGAAAAAACAGCTTGAGCCTGCTTCTTGAGTAAGCATAATGAAGGCTTTGATATGAATATGTTGCATATTAACAAAAGTTGCATTTGTTTTGTTTTCTTTATTTGCTGTCATTAATATATTGCCCGATCAGGCCTGTTTGAGTTTGTTATACATTTATTGGCAAATATGGATGAAAGCAACGCTGGTGTTGAGGTTGTATATAGGGCTTGTTTTCTACGCTCTCTGTACTATATATTAAGCCCTATATTTTGTTCCACATTACACGGTGGTACTATAATAAAAACAATGTCTATTTTTTCTTCATTTAATGACAAATTACAGTATATTGTGTGTTTATACAACATAAAACACATTCAATATTTAAAAATAAAATAAAAACAAACTAAAACGGTACACTTTATATAAAAAGAGGGATGAACGTTTTGTCTGAAATGTGAAACCACTGCTGATGTACCTTAAACCAGCCTCATTTCTAATGAACAGCAGGGGCCAACTGGTTGCAAAAGTTAAAGTAAAATTGTTTTTATATATAGCACTTTCAAGATAAACATTACAAAGTGCTTCACAACAAAACACTAGAAATAAAGACATAAATGATACCCAAAGGGAAGTTTGAAAAGATGACTTCTTAGCTGCTTTTTAAAAGAGATCACTGAGACCACAAATCCCACGGTCTGACTGTGTATAAGTCTATAAAAAGATTTATTGCCTACAGCATGATGTCAAATTTGCAAGTTATATTCACATTTACAGTAAAATAGGTGAGAAAGAGGGTACGTTTTATGGTGTTTCCAGCCTGTTTCTAAAACTCCCAAGATGGGTCTTCACTAACTTTAAGGGTGACATCATAGTGGCTACATCCATGTTTTCCACACAGTTGCTGTAAAACTAACTACGTCCCAGTATAAAAACATAATCACCCCCACAACATTGTTTGATCCTTGGGTGCACTAGTGGGACTTTTTCCTCTCCTCGCAGCGAGGTCCAGAGAAAGGAGGTCGACAGCGACATTTGTTGGGAGAAACGCACTTCCCTCCGTGCAAGCAGGGCTGACTGCATACAGCTACGGACAAAAGAAAACAAAAGCACAGGTACTATTTGTAAAACCAGGGGAATGGGAAATGAGTGAAGAGCTTGTAAATTCTAGCATCATAAACTCCAGCAGCTGGTCTCAAAGGTGTGAAGTGTTGTGACATCTGGAAATACACTAAGCTGAAAAGCAAATCCAAGGTGCAAAGAGAAAAATCGGGTATGTAAAATGCACTGGTGTGAGAATGGTGCAATGTAGTCAAGAGAGCAGAAAGTACCGGAACTGGATGAAATGAAAAAGACTTTATCATAAGGAATAAATGCTCCCAGTGAAGGGCCAGCATCAGAATTGGGGTCATAACACGACTCCGTACATCTGAGACTCCTCGATTATTTAACCCAGTCTCATCACAGCAAAACGTTATCGGTCTTTGGGAACAGTGTACTCACCCATATGGCAGGCACCACCCAACCATCCCTCCGTGCAGCTGCAGATTCCTGGAGCCACACACAGCCCTCCATTCCTGCAGCCCTGGGGACAAATTGCTGCATGGGAAACAAACCATAGAGGGGTTTGCTCAGCGTGGAACAGAAATATGAAAAAGAAAAACTTACAATAAAAGTTTGTGCTTTGTGAACACGTGAACATATTTTTATTTAATTCAGGCAAAAGTCAAATGTGAAAATTTGACATTGGTCAGACCATACAGTGGCAGTAGCGGCTGTAATGTACCATTGGTACATGCGCGTGACGTTTTTCAGGCATTTTCAGCCTTTATTGGACGGTGACAGTAAAGAGTGGACAGGCAGAGATCAGGCCTTCACTATTATTATCTACAAACCCCACCGAGCTTTGCAGGTCCCTGCAGCACTTCAGCATATGGTTCACTTGCTCAAGCATCATCCTGGCCTTTATGATTCCTGCTTAACTACATATGTAACTATCCTATGACATTATGTTTAGCAAGTGATTGGTCTGTTGTGTTGGTTGCTAAGTTAATTGTGGTTTTATGTTGATGGTGTACTTGTAAAATTAGTGCCATGCATATAAGAGAAGGAGTTCATATTAGATTTAAGCCCTCCCGGTGCCAATGACCCAATGTGTATAATGTGTATGTTAGCAAATATGGAAAATGAGCGTAGGAAGTCATCGAGTCAGCTAATGAATGAAACAGCTTTAATCCTAGAAGAGCAGCAAGGCTGAATATTTCATCTAGACCACAGAAGACGGATTGCTAGTCCAACAGATCCTTAATTTCACATGGAGAATGCATTAGTGGAAGCAGTCTAACAACAGATTTTCATCACTAAAAAGTCAAGTCTGAGTTTCATTTGAAGAAAAATCTTGGTAGACATATAAAAAATTGGCTTTTCAATCTTTGCTGGGTTTTTTTTCAGTTCAAACTGAACTGCAGTTTTCTGCCAATATTACAAACTTCACCACAGCTCTCCAGTTGTTACACCTGCATGTCTGCCTCATCCACTAAGTCAGACTGACTGTTGCTTCCCTTGGTGACAGCTTCTTGGAGCCATAAAAAGCCTTAAACATCCACTAATGTCTGCAGCTGATGAACAGCTCCATTTGGCACCTTTGACCTCCTGTGTTAATTGGGTAATTAGATACAGCCACGAACCCTCCTGGCATTTTGATCCGGCCCAGCTTGAAGGGCAGATACACTTGGCCACGCCGTTGACAGCGGTGCATTCTCCTCCGTTCCAACATCCCCCATCGCACGTCACTGCAAAACACACACACGCACACACACACACTGTTCATGAGATATTTTTACCATACCACAAAAGATTTAAGTTAATTTGGGTATAAACTCCCCAAAGCACCCAGGAAATTCTTCACTACACACCATTCTGTTGGAATGCATTGACTTATGCATTCATAAACTTAATAAAACACATTTAAAAAAATCTAATCCATAAAATGTTTTAAGAACTTAGACAAACAAATGAGGCAGTACGTGAGCAACAGCTGAAAACTGTGTGTAGTATTCTGAATAATAGTAAACTGAATACAAATGAATAGAGCAGGAAAATACACCAAAAGCAAAGAATAACTGTCATCATGACACGCACACACGTGTTAATACACTTAATGTATTAGAACTGTCCCGCTCCCATGAACTCGTTTACCTTTGTGACAATATCTTCCTCCAAATCCAGGAGGACATCTGCATTTTCCAGGGCGAAGACACACTCCTCCATTTTTACATTTGGGATCACAGTTGGCTGCAAAATTATCCACCACAGTTTTTTTAATAGGCTTCAAAGTTTTGACCTTCTTTCTCAGAAGTCTTCGTCACTTTAAATTAATTTGCAACAAAATAAGTTAGTCATAAACTGGGTCAATAAATAAAGTGGCACATTAAACCATTTATTCATAGCTGAGCTTGGCACGAGGTCTTCCCTGTGCCATCATCAGAATTTGAAATTACGCGCAGATAAAAGGTTTGTCACGTCACCATACTGGCAGGTCTCTCCTTCGTAGCCCCGGGAGCAGAAGCATGTGTTGTTGCGGATGCAGACTCCGGCGTGTTCGCACGGCGGCTCGCACTTCGCTTTCAGGTCAAAGACGAAGCCGACCGCGACACCCCGGGGCGCGTCCGAGCCTCCGGAGCACACACCGGCGAGCGACATCAAAGAGGCAAACAGGAGAGGTGCAAAGAACATGGCCGGATGTGCTTTGTTGCTCAAATGAAGAGTGAAAAGAAGCGAAGCGGTGGACGGATGGAGGAGGAGAAAGTCTCCTGAAGAAACAGGGAAAACTTCTCGGCCAGGATGGTGGTGGTGAGGCGGAGCAGGGAGAGCGCCCTGGGGTGGGGGCTGGGGCTGTTTTTCAAGACTTTGGATCAAATCTATGCAGTCCATATTTGCATGAAACATATAGGTTAGACCACCGCGCAGATTACGCAGTGGGGTTACATGAAGTAAAAGTTTGACTCTGCCACAACAGATTCATAATGATGAGGTTTCCCAATAGTTTGTCTGGAGTTATGACAGAGATGCTCAAGATACTAATTAAATTAGGGCCTAAAACATGTGGATAGCACAGCTTCACCATGCTGCTCTATAGCAAAATACTCCAAAGAAGGATTTAAGAGTAATCTGATTGTATTTGCAGTCTTTGTTCATTGTGCAATAATTTATCTAAGGAATGCTACAAGTGGTAACATAAAAAGTATTTTTATTGTTGCTTAGATTAAAGCGGTTGTGTTTCATATGTAGTTTATATGTAGCACCCACAAAGAGAGTAATATAACTGCTCCAGAATGTCTAATAAATAAATAAAAATCTGTAGTGTAGTTTGTTTTGTTTTTTTGCTAACCATAAAATAAAAATGTTTCAACAAATGTAAGAGCTCACCTGTATGAACTGTATGAAACACTGCTACCTGCTGTTTAATCCTCACTGATCCTGTGCTACATGTTTGGGACAGTCTACCATAAGGTGGCTGGATGAAATAAATGGACAAGTTTCTGGTACATATGCACATTTGTTGAGTAACTATACTCACTATACTTGGTATCTTCTAGTACAACATTTGCTCCACAAAATGAGACACAAAAGATGCACAACTGATTTTGATGGTCATCAGTTGACCTAATATATCTACACACATTCAGGAAGCTCACTTTACCCAAATATTTAACTTTATTAAAGTTACATAGCATCTATAACTAGTGGTATTTAAACAACATCTTACTCACTTCTGTTATAACAGCAAGGACTGATTTCTAAGGCACATAATTCATAATTTGTGCAAAGTATTATTTTTCATGGCTACACATCTAAGGTTTTATTTTGGTTTAAAGAAACTGCTGTGAAATATGCAACAAAAGAAAAGTGCAGTATTTTATACTGAGTACATATTTCACAGCGATGTTGACAAACTATATCTAAAAGACTGTAGAATCACTTTAAATGTCTATGATTATATTTGTCAGAAAGACAGAGTTTGGGATGTTAGTCTATGTAGAGCACATATGGAAAAACCATTTCCTCTTGTTTGGTGAAAAGAAACCCTGGGCCTGTATGAAGGACGGGGTGAGGGGGAAGTTCTGTTGTAATGACAATAACACAACCAATCAGTAGCGGATGTGGTTCTTCTCTCTGCTCCCTTAAAGCTGTTCAGAGACCAAACAGGCAAAGTAGCTTTCTGTTTGATTCTCTGCGTTTTGCATTTTTCAGTAAAAGTGAACAGTGTTTCTTTATTCTGAGTTCTGTGAGCTCAGAATAAACAGAGTTTGCATAATACTTGGACTACTCCAAGTACAAGATTTAAATTTCCATAAACGGTATGGAGTCGCTCTGCTGCTTATTCACGGAAAGCTTCTCTGGACAAGCAGTCAGAGTCTTTCCTTGGACTCACCACATCAGACTTGTCGTGCATGACAGAGTCCAGCTGGAAGAGAGACAACTGGACTTTATGAAGACCTTAGCATAGTTCTTCCCAAACAATCTGAACTGAAGTAGCTCACAACAAATGCAGTTATGTAGATTTAGTTGGCACAACACACAAATATTCCAAACATCTAAAAATCAAGAATCAGCATTATACTAAGCAGTGTCGGGACAGTGAGTCTGACCTTTTAACTTGATTTAAATGGGTTTCCTCTGTGGCCAGTTTAGAAGTGTGAGTTTCACTCATATCTGGGTGGATTTCTTTGGTAATAAGATTTTCATTGAAACTGGTGATAATGTGTTGAGTCACTTTAAATCAATATAGTCCTGTAGGGAGAAAATAATAGGTTGTCGCTTATTTGCAGAGTGATATCTTCATGTGGTTTATTTGATAATGCACTATATTCAACCTGCTAATCAGCAGTTAGCCTGCGTAACCACCAAAAAAGATAAAGAATAACAACAAAGATGAATGCCATCGTGTTAAAAATCCAAAGGGGAAATCACTCATTTAGTAATAAAGTACCTCCAGAAGCAAAAATAAAAGTACAGTGCTGCCCCACTAACACTCTACTGGCAACAACTAAAGTACAATCAGTAAGCAAAATACATTAGCGATGGGGGCAAGAGGGTTTTTTCTCTGTTGTATGTATTCCAGTGCAGCTCTGGTCTAGACCTGTGACCTGGATCCCGGAGTGGAAGTGAGCTGGTGGTTTAATGACTGCAACAGATGTGAACATACCATGATACACAAGGGGCCTGTGCCTCTCGCTTTAGGAAACAAACAGATGGATAACACCAGAAAGAAGTTTTGAAAGCAGAGAACAAAATTAGGTTCTTTGAAAATAGTAATAAATATTACTATTATCATTAATAAATAGCTTAAACACACACAGCTTTACAACCACATCCTCAATTCTAATTTATTATGAGCATAAATGGAAGTTAATAGATGTTGCTTTATGTGTGTGCGTCAGCTCTGTGGATAGTTGTTGGAGTGAATAGGTTCGTGACAGGATCCCAACAACATTAATGAGTGTGTTTGTGTGGGACACCGTACTAATGCTAAGAGGCAGATAAACAGATTTGGCATGAGGAATATGAAGGACAGTTACGCTAAAGTTTGTCACTGGTCTTCTGCAATATTACTGCAAATTTGCAATCTTATTTCCAAATTTCATCTCTGAGTTTCAGTAGGAATGCACAGACAATGTCAAAGAGAAAACGTTATTTGGAGACATGTGTTCGTGAACTAGATCAGAATATGGGACACTATTTCATTTTGTGAGAAGAAAGAACAAGTTCCAGATAAAAGTACAGTATCTGGTCACCCTACAATAGCTGCAGCCCCCTGGTGGGTTGTGAGGATACTGCAGGTGTAGTTCTTTTGGTGTAATACAATAAAACCCTGTTATCCTCAATAAAAGGAAGATGTTTATGTCGGGTACATTTTCTAGACAAAATCATTTATGGACAACTAATTTATGATCAGATGAAATTTGTTTTCGCACATTTGTAAGAAACCTGCAAATTTTATCTCCTATTCATTGCTCAAACATCTGCATCCAGTCCACTGAAATGGACTGGATGCAGATGTTTGAAAACATGAAGACCTACTTTTTCTTGTCTTTTAAACGTCCAGTTTCAAGTATTAATGTGCAGTAATAACAATGGAGTAATGAAAAGGTAAGAATTTGGAGACCTTCATACTTCAGCTGAGTGAGACATTTGGCACCACTCTGTGTGTACACAGTATATTAGAAGCACACCAAGAAAACACAAGAAACGCTCAAAATGAATAGATTTTATTGTCACCGGCATGCATGAAAAACACAAAACCACTGTTTAGATGTTAGAAAATAGCTGGGAAACTTTCACATTTATGGAATATTACGAAAAGTTTGATTTCGGTTTACTTTCTTCAAAATGACGTGTAGAAATGTGGAGATTTTGCAGCGATTTAAACTGTGAAACTTTGCATGTTGATTTAAGAAATTATATTTATGTGATCAAAACAGCAAATTACACCATGGCCCACAAAAATAGGATTAATTTAAATTTTTTAAAAAAAAAGGTGACATTTGTATGAATAAGCCTATGACATAAAAATATTATTATAAGTTATTTTCTTATCAAGTGAAAAATGTATTTTATTTTTCAGTAAAATATGCTCATTAAGGTCTTCAGAGTAGTCACGCGTCGCTTTTAACCTGATGATTAACAGAGTTACACACACACACCGCACAAAAACTAAAAGTTTAGAATAAATCAGTGATGACGTGAGTCTGCTGTACTGCTCTACACACTAACAAAATTCATGAAACAAAAAGAGAGAGGCTGTTTGTAGAAAGGAGTCAAATAAGAGCAGAAAGGAATGATTAGGAACACCTCAGTAGTTTTACTTTCAAAAGTCAATTCTCTCTCACACGTTTTAGAAACGATTTCATAAAGTGGTGTAGAATGAGAGGGGCTGTGAGCAGCTTTCCCCTTCTATTTAAGCAATATTGACATTACCTTCTCTTCAAAAGGTCCAGCTAAAGTGCATCGTAAGTAAAGCTATTGCTTCCAGTATTTCAAATACAGAGGAGGAGTGATACTGAATATTGAATAATGTGCTCTGTTTTTACCAGCCTGGAAAAACTACAAACCTCTCGTCTATGGGCCATGAGGAGGATTTACAGGTCTGGTTCACGAGGGATAAACCATCGTTTGGTGGTTTTATTGCAAAACGTCTATTCTAAACATCATGTTTGTCCTCTAAACAGAATAAACTATTCAGGACTTAAAAACTGATGAGCCACTACGACTAAATTAAAAGCAAAGATGTTTTGTATGGAGGTCAACAGCAGTATCTGATGCCTAAGCTCTTTTGCTTCCCTTATTGGTAGACCTGCACATGCCCGTGCAACGAGGTGGTGTTCCCCCCACAGTCCACATACTGGTACATCTCCTGGGAGACCTGCTCCGTGTGGCCAAAGTAAGACGTTGTCACCATCACCCTGAAAAGCAAACAAGAGTCAAACATGATCAAAGTGCAAGAGATCAGTGGAAATAGTTGTGCAGCAGTCTGATATCACTGCTATCATTATTTGCTGTTGAAAGTACTGTAGCTCAGAACTTACACCAGTGCATTTCCTCCATCTATAGATCTATCACACCTAGACTCAACATCTTGTTCTGGCCTAAGCTCTAAATAAATTCTGTGCAGCGTTCTTGTGAATTGAAGTGGAATAAACCTCTATGTTATTCTATGTGGCATATCAAGTCTTCTCTGCACAGAGCAGTTTTTCATAGTTATTCGAAAATTAAAGAAAGGGGAAACATTATCATATGAAGCGTCCATGAAGAGCTTACAATTTCTGATTAAAAGTTAACTATCACAGCCATGTACCTATA